GGCAGCGCGGAGCTAGGACTGGTGATACCAGCAGAGAGAAGACTTTTAATAACTATGAACTCTGACGTCAGATGGGCGGCTAGACATCTAGCTTGCGGGGGGATCTGTGTGGAGAAGGGACCCTTTGCCCCTTGTTCGCCCTAGTTACATATAGACAGGACCACGGGCCCCCTCCCCTGTGGTCCTCTTGGGGGCAGGAGTGGGGGAAAGGGTGTACTGAGGTGGAACAGGCAAGACCAATGGAGCAGAGATACATTAGCACCTCTCCAGCCCTGAGGAACTCCCTAAGAAAAGGTGACGCAGCCTTAGTGGAGATCCCCCTTTTATGGGTGGGGTCTGCAGGTCTTGGGGGAGTCTCCAGTCACCTGGCTCCATTGGAGTTTGCTGCCGGGGAGCTGCCGAGGACCCAATGGGAACACAGAGCTCTCTGTGACCAGCCCTGATCTTCAACAGATTCCACAGGGCCCACGAGTTTTCTAGAGGATCCTCTGGTCTGCTCCGTGGGGGAAAGATTCCCATTTCTTTGTTGGGTCACTCCAGAGGAATCTCCCCAAGAGGACCCACATGAGGTTAAATTCGCTCCTGTGCTTTGATTCGCATTGCACATCCCAGCCCCTCCGCTCTCTTGCAGCGCCGGACGGGGGGTTCTTTCGTGGCTCTCCCAGGAGCTGGGCAAGGTCATCCCTCAGCCAGCCCCGAATCCAAGGAGGCTGGAGACCGTCAGAAAGAGCTTCGAGAACAGTCTGGACTTCCCTGACCAGGTCTGTACCAGAACCACCTCAAGAGGATCACAGGTCATGGGGTTTGCTTTTCATACCGCAGTGTTCTCGCCAGTGGTTTTAATCATGGGCTTGTGTGTTCTCTGCAGACAGAAGTCCAGAGCATAAAGGAAGATGAGGACCAACTAGGTAAAAATTTAAATAAATCATTTGATCCTCATACTTGGCTTTTGTAATGCACTTTTCATCGGGAGAGCGCAAAGAATTGTTCAAGGGCATTATTCCCATTTTACAGATGGGGCAACTGAGGCTCAGCACATGGACTTGCCCCACACCTTCCACTGGGCTGTAGTAAAGTCAGGAGAGAACCAACCGCTCCCAAATCTCACTCCATGGCTTTATCTGCTCGGTCAGTCTACCTAAATATGGATACTGATGCCCGCACTGAGTGAAATAGCCTCTTTTGTTATTGGAGGCTCTCAAGGCATGGCAGCAACCCACCCATCCTGCAGATTGGTCATTCTCAGGGTCCCTGAGGGACTGCAGGGTATATCTGTATTTTCAGTATCCTCCAGTATATCTCAAAGCATTGTCTTACCCACCCCATGTGTGACTCCACTGGAACAGAGAGCTCCAAGCAGCCCCCAGGGAGTTCGTGTGTGGGAGAGAGATTCTGACAGACAGAATGGGCTGGGCAGCTCCCTACACACAGACCTGATACCGAGCGCAGGGATGGTCAGAAGCGCAAGTAACCCACAGCCTGATCTCCTTCAGCAGCAAGACTGGCTGGGAAAACAAAAGCCCTTGCCCCATCTCTCCCAACGAGCCACAGGACCGGGAAAGGGCTCTGTTATGCCAGCATTCTCCACCAAATTTGTTGGGCGACAGTCTCAGTTCTTTTGGGAGCCTCACCGCAGCTTCCCTGCACGGCTCCTGCTTGCCTGGACTGTAAAACCAGTCCTGGGGCACAGAGCAGGCCTGAGGTGACTGAGGCTGTGATTTGGGGAGAGGGACGGCTTTTCTGGTCTGTCCATACCACATGGTTCTGGCCCCTGATTAGGTCTCCTGGATGCTGCAGGACCTCAGATAATCAACACTGCTGCTGGGGTTAACCAGGGTGTATGGAGCTTTCCCATCTCTCTTCTCCCCAGTCAGCTAGTACTGTTCACAAAACCATCCCATTGGGACTGATGCCAGCATTGAACAATGCTGGGGTTTAGGGTCTGAAGGGGCTGCCCGTCTTCTTGTCTGGTCTCCTGTGTCTCACAGGCCACCAATACCGCCTGTAGAGGAAACCCAGTGACCAACTGGGTGGCTGTTGGGTTAGTCAGCTGTGGGTGAAACCTACGTGGGTCTTTCACTAGATTGTTTTTTGTGTTGTTTAGCTTGTGAACTCTCATGCTATCATTTTCTTTCCTTCCCCCTCCAGAGATAACTACGCTTGCTCCAGAGGAAGATGAGATGCAGGATCATAGCGAGTTGCATTCCAGCTCAGATAACAATAATAATGCCTCAGAAAAAGGGTAAGTTCCCCCCCAAGCTGTGCAGCATGGTAACGCCCGTAGGATAAGTCGCTTTCCTCTTTCATTTCAAGCACATGAGGCTGTCCATTGGAACTCTGATTTGATAGCCACTCCCAGTGGTCTGCCTTTTTCCTTCTTGCTTCTCAGCCAGAGTGGGTTTAACATGGCCATGCCTGCTGTGCTGTGGGCAGTGCATTGCTCTGAAGGATAAAAATATCAACCCTGTTTATTCATTTAACTGAAAGTGCAGGTGTCTTTTACCTCTTGGTATAACAATAAGAACGGAGGGTTACCAAATGAAATGAATAGCTAGCAGATTTAAAGCAAACAAAAGGAAGGGTTTTTTTTTCATGCAGCGCACAGTCAACCTGTGGAACTCCTTGCCACAGGATGTTGTGAAGACCTGGGCTTTAACAGGGTTCAACAAAGAACTAGATAAACTCATGGAGGTTAGGTCCATCAATGGCTGTTAGCCAGACTGGGTAGGGATGATGTCCGTAGCCTCTGTTTGCAGGGGCTGGAAATGGATTACAGGGGAGGGATCACTTGATGATTCCCTGTTTTGTTCACTCCCTCTAGGGCACCTGGTATTGGCCACTGTTGGCAGACAGGACACTGGGCTAGATGGATCTTTGGTCTGACCCAGTGTGGCCGTTCCTCTGTGGGTATAAGGGAAACTGGTCCTTCCATATTGGTATGGGTGCCCAGGAGTGAAAGAATATGGAGCCCGGATTTCTCTTCTTATTCCATAAAGGGTAATCTCTGTAGGGCCACGCTGGCTCATGGGGGCCACATGGAATCTGTCTCCAAAGTGGTGATGAAGATTTGTTTAAAAAGCCATGTAAACGCAGAAGCTTGTGGCGCCTGTGGCTCACTGTGGCCTTTTGGTCTAAGATGCTGAAGCCCCATCCTTTTCAACGTAAATGGATTTTTACCGAAAAATTACCGGCTTTTCATTTTTCTTCTGATTTTTGCCCTACTTTTGTATCACTCAAATATATTAAAATAACTTGTTTTATTGGGAAAATTCAGTACATGGCATGAGATCTATGTGTTCCCACAACACAGAAGTCTGTGTGTATATGCAAAGCTGCCTGTTGAAGTAAGGGTTTGTATTAGTCTGGAAGACACATGCAACAAACAAACAGTCACGCACGCAAACTCTGAAGTGCATGTGCATCTGAATATGCTGCTGAATCTCACGTCCATCACGTACCATTTCAAGCGGTTGGCGGACAACGGTTTAACAATCTGCCATCCCAAAATGGGAAGAAAACGAAAATCAGTGTTGGAATAACAGACAGAAGTACTGAAAAGTTTTAAACGCACCAAATCTGGAGAAAAAGGATGATGCTGAATGTACGTGCTGCAAATGGTGTGGCCCAGTTATTAAAAGTAAATATTTATAGGCTAAGAGCTCTAAAGCCTACAACAGTAAACTGTTTACGCAAATGAAAAGTTCTCTTTGGGGATTAGTGATCCATTGTTTTCTTAGGCTCAGAGGTGTCATTGTGCTTTGAGTTCTGTTTCAGTTCTGCAGCAAAGCACATTGATTCACAGAATTCAAAGTGTTAATCTATTGAATACTTTCCCTCTCATCTTCCCGTCCACCAAAATAAACCCCGAGGCTACGTCTAGACTGGCATGATTTTCCGGAAATGCTTTTCCGTTAAAAGCATTTTCGGAACAGAGCATCTAGATTGGCACTGACGCTTTTCCGCAAAAGCACTTTTTGCAGAAAAGCGTCCGTGCCAATCTAGACACACTTTTCCGCAAAAAAGCCCCGATCGCCATTTTCGCGATCGGGGCTTTTTTGCGGAAAACGAATCTGAGCTGTCTACACTGGCCCTTTTGAGCAAAAGTTTTGCGCAAAAGGACTTTTGCCTGAACGGGAGCAGCATAGTATTTCTGCAAGAACACTGACAATCTTACATGAGATCATCAGTGCTTTTGCGGAAGTTCAAGCGGCCAGTGTAGACAGCTGGCAAGTTTTTCCGGAAAAGCGGCTGATTTTCCAGAAAAACTGGCCAGTCTAGATGTAGCCTGATTGTTACAGAGAACATTATTAATAGTTTTTTGCACTGATTGTCACCTGGTTTTCTTGTGGTGGTAATAAATGCTGATAAATTCCTGAGAAAAAGAAAGACTGAAAATGAAGGGCCCTAGATATACTTAATTGCTGACCAGGTAATTCTGTTCTAACACTGTTGGTCCCATGCTATGGAGTTGATGTTGCTTTGTTTGCACCTCCTTGCATTCACTGACAATGCAGAGCAGAGAGCAGAGCCATGGGAAAGGCAGGTGCCATCAGAGAACCAATAACAGGCCAGGTCTACACTGATGAAGATAATTGATGCAAGATATGCAACTACAGCTACGTGAATTGTCTAGCTGGAGTCAATGTACCTTGCATCGATTTTCTGGGGTGGCCCGACAGCGGGAGATCGACGGGAGAAATGCTCCTGTCAACTTCCCTTATACCTCGCGAGTACCGGTGTCGACCGTCAACGGTTGATTTAGTGGGTCTTTACTAGACCCGCTAAATCAAAACCTGGAAGATCGATCGCCAGAGCGTTGATCGTTCGATAACTGGAGACATGGCCACAGTTTCTTTTTATTTTGATTTGTAATGATGGAGAGATGTTTGTGCCACATGGCCCATGTATCGTCATTATAAAGTATGGCTAGGATTTCCCAAGACACCTAAGTCAGCAAAGCACTTAATTCCCATTCAACAGGTGGGCGTCCAAGTCCAAGTCCCTAGGGCTACTTAGCAGACACCGGCCTATCACACTTTTCATCCTTCCCACTCCAGGCACGTTTTCTTTGACAGTGCAAAGAAGTTTAGTGGTTTACTGAAGACCACACAACCTTTGTTCAAGATCTCTCAGTGGCAAGGCTGAGACTGGACCTTCTGGAGGGTCTTCAGGCTTAGGTAAAACATAATCCACCTGGCAGTGGCTGTTTATCAAAATGATAATGAAGCTATTAATGGAGCTAGAACAGCAGGCAGGAGAGCACAGGTAACTGGGTTCCTAGGCCTTGCTGGTGTAAAAAGGCCTGTTTTATTCATGAGAGGCCTGGTGTACAAAGCTTTTTAAGTAACCAAAGGCTGAAATGTAAGTGACGTTAATGAGCACTCAAGCCTGGGTCATGAATTATGCCTTCCTAGCAGAGATAACAAACACGTGACCATAGAAGAACAGGAACACTGCAAGTTGCCCATGTTAGAGTGAGGGTGGGAGATTGTTTTGCACTGTAGTAAATAGGTATTTAAACCATAGTGATGCAGGTGGTCTCTTAAGAAATGGATTGATGCCCATTGCTTAGGCTAGTGATTGGCAGTGTAGTTATGGCTGTCTGGGATACCACATATGCATAATGGGCAGGTGCTAACTGTATTATACAGAAGAACATCGGAGATGGGTCTGTAGCTGAATAGCTAGGGAATGGGTATAAAAGACATGACTGAGTTCCCTAAATGTTGGGTGCGTTGGATCGTCCAGAGCAGTGTTTCCCAATTTTATTTGGCCATGGAACCCTTTTCTCTTGGAAAGAATTTCAAGGAACCCCTAGGATAAAAATTTGTTGAGCAAAAAAAGAAAGAAAAAAACCCAGCTGCAATTTGTTTCTGTCTCTTTAAGAGGGGCCGGGAGAGTGGGGGTTCTCACGGAACCCTTACTTTCGCTTCAAGGAACCCTGGGGTTCTGCAGAGCACCAAGTGGGAAACACTGTTCCAGAGGGTTTACACTGAATCAGGCCCAACTCTCTGAGGTGCTCTACTGACCGGTCCTCCCATCTTTTGCTTCTAACGTCTCCGAAGGCTGTAGTTGTGCCCCGTGCAAGACTCTATGTGGTGCGTCTACACTGCAGCGCTATTCCAAAAGAACTTAGTCTGCATCTACACAGCAGGCAGTTATTTCTAAATGGTGTCAAAATACTGTCAAGTTGGAGGACTTCTTACTTCGACTCCTGTTACCTTCATTGTACAAGGAGTAAGGGAAGTCGGAGGAAGAAGGCCCTATTTCGAAATAAGTGCTGTGTAGATGCTCCCAATTTTGAAATAAGCTATTTCGAAATAAGCTACACAAGTGACGTAGCTCAATTTGCGCCACTTATTTTGATTTAAGCTCTGTATAGCCAGAGTAGGCAACACTTCGCTGGAGTTATGTGATTCTTATACTCACCTCTAATATACTTACGGACGTGGATTAATTTGTCTATGATTTAAATTGTATTTGTCTATGCTGATAAATCTCCTAGAACAATGAGGAACCTTGTGGTACCTTAAAGGCTAAGGGTGCATCTACACTGCACCGTTATTTCGAGATAACTAGTATTACTTCGAAATAACAAGCGGCTCTAAATTTCGAAAAAAATTTCGAAATAACGGATGGCTTATTCTAAAATCTGTAAACCTCATTCTACGAGGAATAACGCCTATTCTGAAATAGTTTACTTAGAAATAAACTTGTGTAGGCAAAAACCCACTTCATCAGATGCCCAAATAGATCTGTTAGGGCACGTCTACACTTGCTCCCTAGCTCGAACTAGGGATGCAAATGTAGGTGACCGAAATTGCTAATGAAGCAGGGATTTAAATATCCCATGCTTCATTAGCATGCGCGTTACTCCGCTCAACAGCTGTTTTGAAAGTGAAAGTGCACGCCGGGACGCGTTAGTTCGAACCAAACCCCTTGGTTCGAACTCATGTTAGTAAAATGAGGAGTAACTTTAGTTTGAACCAAGGGGTTTGGTTCGATCTAACGCGTTCCGGCGCGCACTTTCACTTTCGAAACAGCTGTTGAGCAGAGTAACGCGCTGGCGAGCTTATGATAATGAAGTGTGGGATATTTAAATCCCCGCTTCATTAGCAATTTGGGTCGCCTACATTTGCATCCCTAGTTCGAACTTACCCTTAGACGTACCCTTAGCCTGTGAGGTGCCACTGGATTCCGGGTTGGTTTTGCAGATGCAGACCAACCCGGCGACCCCACTGAGACCAAATCTCAGAGTTGTTGCGTGTGTCACATGTTGCATCCCAAGCAGCAATTGTAATTTTGGTAACTCCCGCTTCTGGTCTCTCTCAAATCTGGGAAACAGAGGAGCCAGCGATGCTGAAGCTAATGGCACTTGTCCGAACGGCAAGAAAAAGACGTGGGCGGTTTGATTTTGCAATGGGGTTTTGTGATGGGGCTTATTTTCCCAAGTCAGCTTGCCCGGCACTAGGAGTTATGATGACTCTGGTTGGGATTTATTGGTAGACCAGGGTGAGAATTCTGCCTTTTGTCTCCTCTGTGTTTACCCCGTTTCATGTAATTCATCCCCATTCACCCGCCTGTCTGTCATGCCAATTTCACTCTCACTACACATGAAACCATGTTTAAGGCTCTGCTGGTGCTCTCCAGCTGTTCCTCGTACCTGTGTAACACAAACAGGGGTGTAGGGCCCCTTGCTTGGGGGCGTCAGGCCTGGCGAGCCATGGACCAGCTGAACTTGGCTGTGAAGGGCTCTGGAGTGCTGTGTGCCTGCTGCAAGGCATTGCCATGTGGTCAGTGTCTCTGTTCATTGGGTGCAGTTCCCTGGCCTCTGACACGCAGCGTAGTCTGACTGGGGGATCAAATGGCTCCTGCTGGCTTTTCTAGAAATCCATGTTGCCGTGCAGGAAAAAGGGGTGGTTTGGGAGTGAACCATGGCTGCCCCCTGGTCCTGTGAACTACAGAGACGTGCAGGCCTAAACATCCACAGAGAAGGGAAGGAGAGGGTGGCTTCCGCTTAGCACTGGGGGCCTTGTGGAGAGGCTCCATGTTTCTCTTTGGTGCCCTGATTCTGGGTTCGAGAGCGGTCGGGGGAAAGGGATCCTGTCTTTTCCCCAGCCCTACAGCAATGTAGGCCCCTTGCGAGCCCCCCTGATTAGCTGGGCTTTGCACAGCAGCTGAAACCATGGCCCTTGGCGATGGAGAACAATCTGCCAGGGCCTGGAGAGCACAGGCGGGGGGAGAGGAACGGATCCGCTCCGTCTTAATGGTGGGCGATCTCTCTCCGCAGGGCTGGAACCGGGGTGATCAGCTGGCTGGTACAGGAGTTTGGAAAAATGATCCCGCAGCCGGGGAACGGGACCAAGCTTGAGGTGAGTGCAGCAAACACAAAGAAGAGACGGAGCCCCTGCAGCGCGAGAGACACGGGCCAGGAATGCACAGACAGGGGCAAGTTGTGTTGAACGGCATGTCAGCTGGTTGGCTGTAGCCCTCGGTTGTAGCGGGTGTTACTCACAGTGTTAAGTATCATGACCCCTGTAACCTGGACTGCTTGATGGCATTTAACATTCTGCTTGTTAGCACGACTCCTCGAGGGCATGGTTTGACATGACTGAATTCTCCAGCCAAGGCTGCCCCACGTCGAAATTTTCCGCCCCCCCCCCCCCCCCCCT